AACCTGTGTACTGTGAGAGTCAAAGATAAATGGCTCTATAAGAAAATCAACTTTTTGAAGTAGGATAATGAATAAGCCTGAGGAACTGCCAATAGCCGTGGCATAGACAAAAAAGGCCCCGTTGCATTTACCTATGCATCAAGGAAAAAGACTTTCTGAAGAGATTAATGTGTCCCTTCATACTACAAGACTTATAAGTTGTAAATGTTAATTGTCTTAGTGCAGTTAGAACAAGAGAGAGGAATAAAATTAAAAAAAAAGAAGACAAATGAGTAGTGGTAGAAGTGGTAGAAATGCAGATTTTATTGGGTGTGGAGCCTCAGTAATGTGAACCAGCATGAGCACATTTATAGAGCTGTAATTTTATTTTCATTAGGGAGTTTATTGGCATAACTACATTAGCAAAAGGTCGCACAAGTATCATTAGCTGCCAGCATAATGATGGCACTAATACATCAGCCCTCGCAAACAGCAGTTGGAGCAGCGGTAGTCTGTGTGCAGGCTCAGATTTAGGGCTTGGGCTTTTTCTGCAGTAGAGCTTTTCAGGTGCGTGAAGAAATATCATTCACGTTGATATAACTCCATCAACAGACGTTCCCCCATGCACTTTCAGGTACCTTCAGGTACTTTCAGCTGCTTTAGAAGACAATTTTTGGTGCAAATTTATAAGATACACAGTATAATCTAAGAAATAATTGCAGAACTTGGCTCTCATCTGGCTATAAAAGCTGAACTAAGAGTTCAGTGTTTAAATACCTACTGATCTTGCTTACATTGGTATTAATGAGTAACAGGGTATGAGAGCAGCAGTAATACTCCATTAAATGCAACAGAGTTGTATCAGTGCCAGATCAAACTGAGTGGGATCCTAATGAAGTCCTTGAAGCTGCTGTATCTTGGTTGTGAAATCAGCCTGGGTTCAGAAAAGGGGAGATTGGGTCCAGCTGGTTTGGAGTCCCACTGATGTCACTGGCTACTGGTGAGCTACCAATGAAATCTCCTACCTCACCCATAAAGATGTAGGCACTGAGCCAGTTTTTAATGCCAATTATAATGAACCTTTGGAGATTTCAACTCTCCTCCAGCTGCTACTCCAGAAACCTTGGGGCTTCCTGGGGGCCATGGGAGTGTTTTGACAACCCAAGACATCACAGGTAGCAGCTGAAGGGAGCTTGAATCAGCAGCATCACTGGGGCCTGAAGAGCATACCCTAAACTGCCTACCTAAAAGTGGCACCTGGAACTGAATTCAGGCTACTGGAGATGTGGAGTACATTAAACAGCCACGCAGAGTTGGTAAGTATGGTATGAGACTGGTGGGAAACACCCACCTTGCTGGAGTGGCTGACGACGCCAAGCAGGATTCCCTTCAGAGCCTGGAGAACACTTTGGCAACTGATTCCTACTGATTCCTGAATTGCTCTGTAGACTCTACTGATCCCCAAAATGGGAGGTTCGTTCAGTTTTGTGATCATAGGTACCTGGTGCTATTTGGGATACCCTGGGATACCCCTCATCTGCAGATGCTGCTGCAGAAGGGCTCGAGACTCCTGTAGGGCCTGCATCATATTTGCGTAATATATGATATGTGTAGATATTTTAGATCCCCTAGATCATTTGAAATGGTACCAGGTACCTATGTTGATATAACCTTGATGCAACCTGATTTTCTCGGCCTGATTTTCCACTGACTGCAAAGACTTAGTGTCAGTAGCTAGTGTATAGAAACCTGTATTGTAGACATTGAAATTCAGGTGCCCGAATCAGGAGCTGAATCTCATCCTAAATGTTAACAGTGAATTATTACATAGGAATGTAATAATAGCAAATGGAAGTGTAGTGTGGATCTAGGTAAATCTTCATTTAAATTGATTGTGTTTGTAGATAAGTGCTGTCATGAAAAGAAAGCTGTGGAAATACAACACTTTTTAACCAATACATTATTTTAGGAATTTATACGTCCAAACAATGTTTATACATCTGCATATAGAGCCTGTAAGTAGAGCTGTCTGTGTTTGCAGTCTCATAAGAATCTTAAATAGGTGCAACTGGAATGAATAATTTCAGTTTTCAGCATAGCTGTACTATACATAGCTGTAGAGCATCAACAGATGCTGTGCTGTTGCTAGACTAGCAAGTGTGAATTTCAGAAAATTCAGTGTGGACCCAAATTAGACCTTTACTTGTCAAGACTAAAGAAATTCCTTGAAAATTTTGATCAGCGGTTTCAATGCATGGGTCAGGGCACATTTTTGATTTCATCTCGCATGGAGTGTCATGTCCATCTCAACACATGTCTGTAGATGTTACTGGTAATAACTGTAGAACATAAACTTCATTTCACTTATAACGGATTCCTCAAGAGGAGGTTACTTGAGGTCAGTGGAACTGCCCCAGTATGATAAGGGAAAATATAATGATGTATGCAAAGATTCCCAATATTATTTGTTTGTCTGACTTTTTTCCAGTGATTTTAAGAATCACACCTATGTTTGTTTAAATGTTTGCAATGTTGGAGCCTGTGAGTTCAATGCTGGATTTATTCCGGTTAGTAACTTGAGCAGGTCCTCCTGCTTGAGGAGGTAGGTGGTCACTTGTAGGAATGTGAGGTTATTGGTGTGTTTTCCTTCATTTTTTCCTTGCGAGGATTATATTCCCTGCTTTATTAGTGTTTTTTAATGCAAACTAAATATCTAAGCTTAAAAATAGAGTCCTTCAGACCTGTTTATTACAAAACAGATGGATCTCTCTGTCATTTGGATCAGCCAGTGTAGGTGGAGTGCTGCAGACGGAGAACAGTCCTCTCTTTGCAAATGTTATTGCTCAAGATAAGGGTGTAAAAAGCAGATTAGGCGATGACATGTGACGTGTCCTTTCCTCAGTCTAAAAGTACAAGATCATGGGATGAACTTTGTCTGACTGGTTATACAGAAAGTGCGTTCGCATTTGTAGTTCCTGAAGAAAAGACTTTCCAAAACAAAAATATAAAATGACTCTAGTGAACTCCATTCTTAGCCACTGTGTGTGTGGAGATCCTTTACCTGTGTCTGATTCTGAGGTAAGAACCTTATGTAATGTGCGATTTGCTGCTCGGACTCTTGAGGAACTGTTTTTAGAGGCTGATTCTGGTGGAGCTGTGTTAGTGAACCAGCTAGACAGTTATTCTAATGAATTGCTTTAGCTATTAAAAACAGCCATGAGCTAAAACCTGCACAGGGGCTGAAGTGTTACTGGGTGACAGGTGTATGCAATAGAGTCCAGGATTTATGCAGTTGTTCTATTTAGAATAAATTTTGTGTTGTAAGTAGAAGAACTTAATGTAGAATAGTGCACAACTGATAATTTTTCATAATTTTTCATGCCTTAATTTCAGTAAATATATTAAAATGCTGAATATTTAATAACTGCCTATTAAAGTAGTGCATACAGTGCATTTTGCCCTATGCTGTCAGGCAAAAAACACCCCTGCAAAATCAGCCCACTGTGAGATGTCTTTCTAAAAAAAGCTAATCAGAGTTAACTAGCCTTGTTGAAAGTGGCATGCACAGAAGAAGGTGACAGAAGAGAAAGCATCTTTTTACAGGCTTCCTTGCAAAAGGCTGATTCTAGGCTATGACACTGCTGAACGTGCAGTGCTTGAAATGCCTTCATCTGGTCTAAAACAGATTAACAAAGTGTAGCCAAGCAGCAATCAAAATGATGCCTCTATTTCTGGAATATATCCTGGCTTTGATGACATTATCATAAATGCACTTGTGCAGTCTGAAGATACCATAATAAAGAACAAGCTTGTTTTGTTTTATTTTTTAATACAGAATAAGTTCATTCACAAATGCAATGTACATTCAGAATGCAATGAGAATTTTATGAGAATATCAATCTGTACGAGACATTACAGCAGGGTTCGCTTGCTCAACAGTGCCTTGGAGTTTGTCACTCATTCCATCAGGCATTCATGCAAGCTGCCACCCAGCCCAGAAACACCCATCTTCCTCTTTCTGTTTGCTTTCTGCCCTTAATAGAGGAGCCAGGAAAAAAAAAAAAAAAAGTGAAGGAAACACTGAGATTTTGGAAATTTGAGAGAAAATTGAATGTAAGCTTTTCTGTAGAATAATTTTCTCAATAAAAAAATGAAGGAATGTTGCTACAAAAAGTTTTAAATTAGATTAACCCAGTGCACTGAAATCCTTCAAAATATTCTCACTGACAAGTATTTCAGCTGTGGTTACTTTACTAGCCCAGTTAGGACACCTATGGGTATTAAACCTCCTCAGGCCAGATTTGCAGTTAGATAGAAATGACATCCTAATTTTCAAGGAATGCTGTCTAAAAACACCAGCTTTTCCCTGTGTTTCTTTTATAATATTACGGCCCTATTCTACTCGGTATGGCCGAAACTTCCCTCTCCAGAGCAGCTCCGCTCGCTCGCCCGTCCCACCCCTGGCCACACGCGCTCCAGATGCATCCCGGGAGCGCATGCACTGGGAAATGGGACGGCCTCTTTTGGCACCAGCTCAGGGTTACGCAGGATCGTCAAACAAGCAGCTCAGGCTGCAGCCGTGCGTCTCTGCGGTGCTACTGATTCTCCTCGCCAAGCAGAGCTAAAGCAGAGGAACACATGTTGGTTGAATCTGTTAAAGATGTTACACTATTCCTTGCACACATGAACAAAGTCTATGTGTACCGGAAGAGTCATTACACATACATTATGCAATGAATTCAGTGTTTATTATAGGGCTAGTGGCTCCTGCATAGGTTCATGATAGTCTTGTTAATTAGTGGTGCTGTTTGCCTAGGACGTGTTAATGAGCAGGTGTTAACCTTAGCACAAACTGCATGTCTGTCCCTTGCAGAGCTACTTGCCTCCTGAATTGTCATTTGTTGTATTTAATGAAACTTTCTTTCTAGCAATGTTAAATTGAGCTACCATATCAAAAACTCACAAATGCTTAAGTGTCAGAAAAAATCTGTGGCTTATTTGACTTGTTCACGTTTAAAAAGGTTGTTTCTGATGACCACTGGAAGAGGTCCCCAAGCCAGGAGGAAGAAAAGAGGGACACCCAAAAGGTCACCCCCAGGAGGTGGGGCTCTGGAAAAAGATCTCGGCCCAGACCTCTCTCAGACTATGGCCAAATGTCAATCAGAAGTTTCTCTATACCAGAAGATGCGGTGGCCATGGAGTCTCAGAAGACAGACTGCACGGATGCAGAAAATCAGCCAGGACTGGCCTCTGTGGGGTCTGTGGTGCAAAGCAAAACTCTCGGCTACCACAGAGGACGAAAAAGAAGACCCATCTCGGTGATAGGTGGGGTGAATTTCTATGGAAGCAGTCCTGCAGAGGAAATAGAAGGTCTGCTGACACAAGTAAGATAAGAGATGTGCTCTCTGCAAACTGCTCAAGACCCTTTCACTTCCTTGTCTCTGTCTTCAACGTAGAAAATAGAATGGATGATTCCTTTTCTTTCTTCCCTGCTGCCAAGCTGCCGTCATGTACTTACACTTCTGCTTTCCTTGTCACTAATTACTTTGTCTTGTTGAAAAACCAAACAGCATGGAATAAAACTGATACTGACTTTGGGATAATCTTCTTTGGATTGTAAATTAACCTTATTTCTTTCTTGGAATGCTCATTATTTCTAGTTTCAATTCATAAGAACTTGTTTGTTTATAGTGCAGCTGTGTTTTAGCCATCCTACAGTGTGTAGGTCCTGAGGAACACATGACTACAAACAATGCGATAAATATGAAATCTGATTATTTAAAATGCTCCAAATATAGACCTGGTCAAAATCTATGCTGTTAGCTGTGGTATTCAGAATGTTGACTCAGCATATCAAGCACACTTGAAATTAATGCAGAATATGCTTGAGAAAATTAGTGATATGAAATTAAGAAATTAATGAAATAAAGAATATAAGAAAACTGGTAATATAAAAAATAAATGGAGTCTTTCCAGGACTGATGTTGCTTGTTCAGATGTGCTTGTTCGTATACCCCTAAACTGAGTTTATCTATGGAACACAGATAGTCTGTAAGAAAATAATTAGTGGTTGAATTTGTAATTGATGGGTGCCTGTATACCTACTTTCCATCTCTGTTGCCTTTGCTAAGAGACCAAAATCTAAAAACTTCAAATCAGGATAAAAATAGCTCTCTTTATTTACTTTTTTTTTCCTGGAGTCTGGAGGCAGCCCTGGGCTGGTAAACAGTGTGTAGAGAAGCCTCCCTCTCTGCTGTGGCTAGTGGTGGACATGGTTTGTCCACAGAGCTTTGGTCTCAAGGGCTTGGTAAAGGTGCCGTGTTCAGAAGTTCTCCACTTTACTGACAGGCTGGAGGGCTCCTACCTAAGCAACTATTAAGTTGATTAAACAAGCAAGAAAAAAACAGTATTTACATCCTAAAAGATTGTGAAGTTGTCTGATTCCAGTGGTTCCTAATGGAATTTGAATCCTCTTAATCTTCCTCATGCTGCTTGGCCTCCTGCTGGGATCATTCATGGTACAATATTCCCCTGACTGAAATCAAATGGTGACACAATGAGAGGGTTTATAATCTCTTTGGAAAGTTTTTATTTTTTAACATGAACATTTTTCTTGTGATATTGCACATTTTTCTTTATACTACCTTGATAAAAAATGGATCCTGAAGTCTATACCACTGAAACTCTCGACTCAAACCAATGAAAGTTTTATTACTAAGTAAGAGGCCGTCTCAATCAGAAATAATATATGGGTTTCAAGGGAAGGTTCTTCTGAGATTGCTAGAGCAGTCAACCAACTGTGAAAACCCAGGGGAATATTTAAAAAGTGTAATGTTATTTCTTTCTTTATTATGTTTTGTTACAGTCTAGCATCTTAGCTGTGAACAAGTTTTCAAACAATACTAAATCACTGGTTTCATAACAGAGCATCCATGTATGGTTCATAAAAAGAAAAACCTGATGTTTCAGGTTATTTCCTTGAAGGGCCTATGGCAACTGAAAGACTAACGGAATATCCGAAGAAGATTTTCTCTGCATTATATGAAGAGTTTTTGATATTTAATGTGGAATATTTTGCAAGATTATTAAATCTGGCTAATAAGAGAGTAGTTCAAAGACAATGTAAAATTAGACTCAGCTTGCAAATTCCAGTGGCAGGTTCTCTAATCAAAATTAAACAAATGAAGGGTTTAACTAAAGAAAATGGCTTCCAGATAAAGTTATGAGTAAATTTAATAGCATCTTTTCAATGAGACTCCTGGGATCTTCTGAGCAGAGGACCATTTAAACTAGTTTTGGCCTTCTTGTAAAATATACTTATTTTGCTTAAAAGCAAGGCATTTATTTGAAAAAAGAAAGCATCCCAGGAAATTAACACAATTTCCTGCTATAGAATTTTGGTCATTCGTATGCAGTTTTTGGTTATTTTTTTCATTTTGGAGTTTCCCGCCAGTTGCAAATTTATAACATTGCTGTGCTTTGTGAAAACCGTTCTGGAAGCAGTTAGATCCCAGCGCAGCTAGGCATGGATTATTACAAGCTGAAAACTATTGGAATGTGTCCAATCATAGCAGAAGGCTGGGGAGATTTATTAAGACAGAGAACAGTAATGTTATTTCATTGCACTGCAGGGATGATGGATGTGCTGCACAGTGCTTAAGCAATGCTACAAGTGCTTCAGATAAGGATGTTTCCTGCCTCTGTAATTAGCTGAAGCAACCTCGCTTCCCAGCGGCGTCTTGCCCAGCTGGGCTTGCCCGCAGTATTGGTTATTAATGCTGGCTTTTGCGTTTTCTCTGCAGCCGGCCGCGCGGCCGCCTGTGCCGGCGCACCAGGTGCCCCCGTACAAGGCGGTTTCGGCCAGGTTCCGCCCGCTCACCTTCTCGCAGAGCACCCCCATCGGCCTCGACCGAGTTGGGCGACGGCGGCAGATGAGAGCGTCTACTGGTAAGATGTGCAAGGCTCCATACCCTTCCAGAACTCAACTTTGCAAGCCAGCTTGGTGAGGAAATCCATTGCATGGCCATGTAGTACACCATTTAGTTGCCTTTTCTCTATAGCTTTCTTATTGGTAAGTTTTTCATGTAAAATCCATTTATCGCATCCACTGATTGACAAATTTGTGTGGGTTATTCTATACAGTTTGCAGGCCTTTCCCACTTTCTGTTTTTATATACTTGCCTACAGATAGTTATAGAATATATAAGACCTAAAACACTTTAGTTCATACCCAAGCAATGCACATTTTACCACTACAAGGAAGTATACTCACACCACACAAGCTATTTTTTCTTTTCGTTCATTCAGCTTAATTTCTTCGATAGGAAAGTATTAAATAATCGAAGCGTTTGCTCCAGAGAATTGTATGCAGTTGCAGGTGCTTACTGAGGGTGAATATGGCCCAGCCAGGTTGCTGGTACATGAAAGATGGATTCTTGGGAAAGACTGCCTCTTTGGAAGCAGTACTTTTCATCTGACCCTCCAATACAGCCTTTGTATTTTTTCTTTTATTCTGTTTACTGTTAGGAAGCCATGGTATATGAGTCAATAGAAAGGCATACCTAGTATTGGTGGAACATTTCTTGGCAGATGATACCAGAAAAAGCTACGTTAATTCGATTTGTCTTCTTCTGGACCACAGCAGGCATCATCTGAAGACTTACTAATGTTTCACTGACAAGGGCCAAAAATAAAAGCTAAATTTTCCTTTGAGATCCTTCACTGTAAATAGTGAACACAAGACTAATGGAAACCTTCAGTTTGCTTCTCTGTGCACAGAATCAGCAGGGAAGTCTTCAGTTGCCATTACTGAAGGGAGAAACTTAACGAATAGTATTTTCAGTGTTTCTTTACTTAAATTAAACAGTTAAATTTACTAAAATTGCTAGTTAATAAAATTATTAGATCAGGCTTATAAGCCAAGTTTTAGAGGTAAAGATATCCATATTCTTCTGAAAACATCCCTCAATTGCAAATGAACTGACATTAGTTAACCTAGAGAACTGCCTGAGACTAATTTATTTCCTAATATTTAGCTTTAAAGCGACTAGTTTCCTAAATGTAGGCGTTACAGATAAAGAAAGCAAGATTTCTGATACTTTTCAAGGCAATACCATCAAAGCAATATTGATTATACTAGATGTGACTTTTGTAACTCATAATAAATGCAGAAGTGGAGTAAGAAAAAGTTTCTTGAATCAGAGCCCTGAGAGCAAGTGGAGAATAACATGGACTTCATAGTCTAATGGCAGTTACAAAGAACTTCTGAATAGCTCCCGTGAAAAATAATATATTAAGTGACTAGTGCCACACATTCTGGTCTCTTTCCTTTTTCTTTCCCTTAAATTCATGAGGCATTTCCTTGTCTTTTAACATGTGTGAGCTTTTTGTTTGCTCGTTTACAGAGAAATTTGATAACACAAAAGCTATTTATTATAGAAAGAAACTCTAAACTCTAGCATTGAAAACTAGAAATATCTTACTTCAGTTGCTTGCTAAAGCCTAGTGCAGATGTTATCTGTCTACTTTTATAACAACAGGAGGTAGAATTTGAGATCTAAATTGTTAGAAAAATGGCTATTAGAAGACAGTAAATCATAATACCGCAGAAGACAGAGTAACAGCCAGCCAAGGCCTGAGGGGAACTTCCTCTGAGACTAATGATGCTACTGCTGTGCTTGAAGGATTACAAGTTCTCAATATCCAGTGTCAGATAGAGAGTTTATCAGTAGAGCAAACTTTTATATGTTCCTTAAAAAGTAACCATTTTTTTTCATGGTGCAAACTTAAATTTGGTGAAAATCTTTGGTGAACTCCTGTAGATTGGCTCAGCTCCAAGTGAATAGGTTGGAATTCAGCTCAAATTTAAGCCACCTAAAATTAGTCTAAGTGTAGGTGTCCACATATGAGCTGAACGTTTGAACAGCCACTACAGGCAGTGGAGGGCTAGAGCTAGACTCAGTTACCTGACCCAGGTATCTAAAGCTGTGGATAATGTCTGAGATATTTACAAGGAGCTTGCCCATATAACAGAGGAGGTATGAGATCCATTTCTTTATTGAGTGGCAGCTGGAGGATGGTGGACTACCCAAAATAGTTAAAATGGTGCAGAATATCATGTTTAAATGACTGATGTGTGCCCTGTCCATGAAGCTCAGAGTAGGTGTATGCTTTAGGATGAGATGAGATGAATTGCTCTCTCAGCTGCTTTGACTATGGCAAATCTCTGTTGACCATAATGAGTTTAGATGCGTAGTTCAAATGTGGATTCTAGCATTTAGATTAATTCATAAAATTAAATTTCTTTAATTCAAGCAGTGTCCTTTCCTGGATGTGTGCCTGTTCTGTTAAACTACTGCCCAAATTTTCCCAATTTATCCAGGCTGGGACCCAGAGTAGACATCAGCTTGTGCTGATGACAGCTTGGAAACTGAGCAGCAAAAAAAATGGCTGTCGTGGATAGTTAGCTCTCAGGTTCTCCGTCTTTGTCACTGAGCAAAACAATGACAACACATAGATAGGTTATTAGCCATGGAAATGAATAAACAAAAGTTATTAATTGCTCCTCTAAAGAAAATAGTTCCCTGTCCTTGCTCCCCCTACCCAAAAGAGAGTGGATGAAAGTAGGACAAAATGCAGGAAATGCTATTTCCAGTTTACTGCATTCAGTATGGTATTTATGATTGCCAGCAGTTGGGTGGCCAAGGTGGTTTCTGAAGAGCTCAGGAGACAGAAAGACTCATCGACAGGAACTTAAAGGACATCAGAAAATCCACTAGCAGAGGCTAAGGCATTACAGGATTGCCGAGGATGAGAAAAGTCTCTGCCAGACGATGGCCACATTATCCCATAGGAGGCATGGTAGTGATGGGTTTACGGTTTCACTTGATGATCTTGAAGGCCTTTTCCAATCATAATGATCCTATTGCTCTATGGTTCTATGATCTCTGCAGGGATAGGAGTCTCAGCTGATAGGGAGGGAACAACTCTTGTGGTGGGTAATGTGGTTGCTGGGTTGTGTCGCTAGCATGGCCAGGCCGGTGGAGCAGACAGGACCGAGCAGCCGGGGCATCACAGAGATGAGCGCTGGAGGCAGAATCGAAGCAGTTGGGTGAAGCCTAAATACCAGGAGCTCCGTGGCAGTCTGAATTGCTCCCCATATAGTGTGTGGTGTCAAACAGAGACCTTCAGGCACAGTTAAGAAAGTTGTGCAAATAAGGAGATTTAGATTGGTTATGAATTGGGAAATGTTTGATATAAAAAGATCCTTCATTTAATAAAGGGTGTTTTCTAAACCAAAACAAAGCAGGTTGCTGACATGGACATTGAGATTATAGTATAATTTCTAAGCAAAAAAAAGAAGCTGGCAAGGTGAAATAATATACCGTTTGGGACAGTGCCTCCTTTACGGACAATGTTGATAAATCCTGCATCCTCAAATAAAGAAAGAGGCAGAAGTGACAAAACTCACAGCACAAATAGTCTGTAGCAGTTGTGCAAACCCTGTTTAAAGGGGATGTAGAAAAATAGGTGACTCTGCCAATCATAGTAGAAATTTAAAAGGTAAAATGGAAAAATATACCTATTTTTAAAGAAGCTAGCTGACATAACATATATCAGAAACTTAATGGAAGGAAGATAACCAGCGTATTACCATTGTGCAAGCCTAATAACAAAAAGGTTGTACCAGTGAAAGAGCGTCTCTTATATTTTAAAGAAAAAATACGAGTCGGAAGAGATAAATAAGGTGACTGTATCAGCAAGTGTCACAGGATCCATGGACTGGAATTCCATGCTTACATGGGGAAAGTAGAGTATTAGGATTAAATTACAAACCACCTCAGATCACCAGGTTGGTGTTAGCAAATGTGGCATACTCAGGAAACCACAGAGGTTGCAAAGGCAGCAAGCACAGTCATAAAAGGAGACTTAAATTGCCTTTGTTTGTACCAAGTCATCGGGCTGTATGCTTGTAGACATATTAGATACTTAGAGCAAATTCATTCCTATCATCTATCAAAAAAGACTTTGGAAACACCAAAAAGGATTCTGTCATTAAACAGCAAGGATTCTTCATAAATTCTAGCAAAGAAAGGAAACTATCGGAAGAAAATAAAAAGACCTCCCTTGGATTGTTGATTTGTATCCAAATAGAAAAAATCATAAATTCTAGCAAAGTAAAAATGCAGGAAGGTAGATAGAATTTACTAAAGGTATAAAAATGTATGTCCTTTCTTCAGAAATGTTAGAAGTAGGTAGACTGTCATGCAGGGAAAATAAGAGCATAGTCATGTTATATAGTCTGTCTACAAATGAAATATCAGCTGAAGCTTTAGAATATTAAATTAGACTAGAAACAATTTGCTAGAACAAGACTTCTAAAGGGATTTAAGAATGAAATTGCTTAGCTACTGTCTCTAGCATGGAATTTATTCTTTAAAATTGCATCAGTGCAAGAAAACATGAGGGCAGCAGTGTGATGACCAGTTCTGAAGCATTGGGAGGAATCCGGTGAGCCTGACCTATCAGTACATAGACTGTATAAAAATATATATAGGACTTATCAACTGTAACAGAGAATAACATCAACAGACTGATGGGTCCTTATAGAATCTTAGAATCATTATGGTTAGAAAAGGCCTTCAAGATCATCAAGTCCAACCGTAAGTCCCTCAACACCCTGCCTGTTAAACCATGTCCCTGAGTGCCTCATCTACACGTTTCTTGAACACTGCCAGGGCCCGTGACTCCACCTGGGCAGCCTGTTCCAATGCTTGACTACTCTTTCCATGTATCATAAAGAGGAGTCAATATGCTCTTTGTAGAGGAAAGTTGTGCCCCACAGATCTATTAGGTTTCCTGGAAAAGTCACTGAGGATGTGATTGGGATGATTCAGTAGTGTACTTGGATTTTCAAAAGACCTTTGACAAGATTTCTTACAAATGCA